CGCTGATGAGGGCTCAAGAAATGTTTTTAAATTGCTCATAAATCTATGCAGCAAAAGCAGTTTTTTAGCCATACAATCATTCCTAAGTACGGTATTCAATAATGCAGCCAAACGTGCTTGTCCGTCTTTTTGTATGGGAGTATTAATATGTCAGATAGACGGTCTTGAAGAAAACCTTGCAAAATTCTCCAAATCCCTTTTTACTCACTCGACCTTTTCGCATGGCATGCGTATATATAATAGCCATACTCTCTGTTCTATCATTATCTAGTCATTGATGATCTGCAAACGGCCAAAACAAGCACTCTCTTTGTGCCTCCCTGGTTGAAGAACAATCTGGAGTACAATTATTAGGTTGTTACATAAGTCTTGTTACACTTATCTTCTAACGGCGATAAGTCATACACCTCATATTCTTTACAAGGTTTCAGGATACCATTCGATAGAGCAAAGCAAGCTCTACAAGATAGTGTGCAAAAGTTCGCATCAACTCCGACCCACTATAACTTTGCATCCAAAATCTGAGTCGCACTGAAGGCTCAAAAATCGCGAAAAATTCATATCTTTGTTTAGAAAAATCCTACGAATCTCCAACTTGCTCATAAAAATTGCCCACTATATCAGACACTCATATGTGTTGTTCCTGTAATTTTTCCTCATTCAGAAATCAAGAAATTTTTTTAGCTTTTACAAAAAAAAAGCTATGTTCTTTCTATTCATGTAGCTGTATGCTACAAGCTCTTAAAAGTATAAACGTAAATTTTCAGTTTTCCAGAAGCCCTAGTTTTCAAAAAATATCAAATTTAGTTTCTCTCACTCGAGTGTTCAATCTTAAATTAGGTAAATCTTGAAAACTAAGACTTCTGGAGAGCTGAAAATTTACGGTCATACTTCTAAGGGCTTGCAGTACATACAGCTACAAAAATAAAAACAACATAGATTCTTTTTTAAAAAATCCAAAAAATTTCCCATTTCTCGATTTCTAAATGAGGAGAACATACAGGAACGGCACGTATGAGTGTTTGAACGAAGATATGAATTTTTCGCCATTTTTGAGCCTTCAGTGCGACTCAGATTTTGATTGCAAAGTTACAATGGGTCGGAGATGGTCCAAAGTTTGCATACTATCTTGTAGAGCTTGCTTTGCTCTATCGAATGGTATCGAAGCCCTGTAAATTCGCCGTTAGAAGTTAAGTGTAACAAGACTTATGTAACAACCTAACACCAAAGACTGAGTTTCCATGGGAACGAAGGTGTGGCCGGTCTCATAGGAGTTCAAAATTTTGAAGCGAGTTCTGACATAAACATCTTGTGAGGCGGTGGCTGTCTATGTAGATATAATGCAGCAAAAAATATCTATTGAGCGGACGACTGGTATTCTCTCAGTTTTACAGGCACAACCTTGTCCAATCAGCAGTTCAAGCAACTCATTTTTTTTCTGGCTTCTCTCAAGCAGAGCCTACTTTTCAAGCAGCAGCAGAATTAGTTGAAAGAATCTATGAGGTTTCAGAAATGAGTATGAGTCCAATTTCAGAAGTCGTATGAACCCCCTTGACACGGAACTTTGGAAGGAAACGATAACCAGTCGTCTCTGCATTGAATCTACATGCTAAAGAATATGTGTTATGCAGAAGAGCCCCCTAAATTAGGTCCCTTTTCGTAAGAACTTGACTGTAACCTTGCTCTACAAAGTTTCTGACCGATAGGCATACCTAGGAAAAAAACTGACGTTAGCGATGTAAAAGGAAAGGCATTTTAGAGGTGTCTAGAGGCTTTAGAAGTAATTTTAGAGACATTTTATTTTTTCATTTTAACACTTTTCTTTTAGTTCTACATAGTGGATCCTTGAATGAGTTACACTACGCTTGGCTATGCAAACCCGTTTTAATTCTAATCCATTACTCTAAAAAATAAATCTCCATTGTCTTTGATTGGCAACCAAATTATGCTGACTATGCTGAATCTGACTCTGTATTGAATGATCCGACTTACTTCAGGATAAGAGCCATTGGCAAAATCAAGTTTCAGGTCTTTATTACGAGTTTTATAGTCGCTTAGAAAACCGAAAATTTTCGGGACAACATACTGCTGAAAAAAAATTCATGTCCCTTTTCAGGGCTTTTAAGCTAAATTTCTAATTCAAGAAAACCACATGCGATGCCAAAATTTTAGCCGACTTTAGAGTTTCAAAGGTACGTAACTGTATGACGGTGATTGCATGTGTTCAAATATGCGAGAGCAAGTGAAAGACTTCTACATTTGGGGGGGGGGGGAGCAAAATCCGACTTTGGGTTACCACCTGTTGGGTTTCGGCTCCAAAGTTAGTTGATAATTTTAGACTCTTTATACTTTTTCTGACAGATTACAATTTAGCTTAAAAACGCTAAACAAGCGGCATTATTATCTTTTCAATTTAGAAATTAGGTTGCCCCAAAAGTTCTGTCGTTTTTTGAAACGACTTAACCTGCCATAAAAAAACATACGTGAACATGCATTCGATGCAGCTTCTTCTTCTTCTTTTACTGATTATATTTCTGAGCTACAATTTTTTAAGCTTCTTGATAAATGCCAAAATCCTTCACCGTTATTTCTACTTGTTCAATGATCGGCTAATTCTCATGAACTTGAGTGCTTTGGAAAAAAAATGTGATGCAAGGGAGGAAAATCTCATACAGAGTGCGCCAATTCAAGCATACAAGTGGCGCCAATTATGCACTGTCGCGGATTGGGGTCCCCCGCTCCAAACTTCAGTGGTAACGTGCTCTCCTGCATCGGCGACAGGAGCGGAGGACTCCATCCGTGAGATAGAGTAACGACACGTGGGGCTACCACAAAACAGCGTGGCGCAAGTAGCTACCACGCTGTTTTGTGGTAGCTACAGCGTGGCGCAAGTAGCTACCACAAAACAGCGTGGTAGCTACTTGCGCCACGCTTTTATGGCCTGCCACGAGCGCAACGCATTACGAGTTAGAGGCCCTAGGCTACCAACCAACCCCCTACTGCCTACTGCCAGCCTTCTCAAGCCATTCACACACGGACAATTGTGGATTTCTTGCAGCTTAGGCACTATCTAGAATCGTGCCCGTCCTTCCGACAAATGGAACCTTCCGAGACAAGTATACAAGGAACACAAACAGCATACAGATATAATGTGCCAAGGTCTGAGCCTTTGGCTACCACAAGAGTCAAACACTACAGCTCAAAGTGCCCACCATTTATCCCTAATTGAACCAGCACACAAGACACTCAATACAATGGGCAGAGTACACACCGGCCAATGATCTCACCTAGGGGTCGGTAAAAAGGAAACCCCCGCGAAGTGGCTCCTCAGCCCTGCGACAAGAAAGGAGCGCACAGCCGGGTTACCTCGGTGCAGGTGCCAGTCCTCCAAGCGTGCAGGTGTTGAACATCGCTGGACCAGAAGAGTGCGCTGCTGGATTGATCGATAGACGGTTGAGGTAGTCGGCCGCTCGCTGCTAGACAAGTGTGGGAGAATGCGTGACTTGTGCGAAGTTAGACATGGGACGAGAGGCGGGGCAGCGCGAGGACTGGCATTTTAGGACCCATCGCTTTGCGGTGACAAACTCCCTATAAAGTCGCGCATCCGCGACACTCAGGGCGGCGAGAAAAAGGTTCCGAGGTAGGCACCAGTCTACCACCTTACCTACGACTACGGGTTAAACATACACACATGACTACGAGTAAAGTTACCCTAGTACACGCGCGCTGGCCTACGGCATATCGTAGCAGCCGGTTGTCTCACGGGTTAGCATGGAGAGTCGTCGGGGGCTCTACGTCGGGACTTCTGGTGGGTCTTCCGGCAGTTGTGGAACGGCACTTGTGTTGACGGCGATCGAAATCGGCGACGTTGACGGGAGTTGTGGTATCGGCATCTGACCATTCGACCATGACCTGACGTGGACGTGGATCTTCTTGATGACGTGACGTACAGCGGCTTGACATAGACTGAACGGCAGGTGTCGGCGATTCAAAAGTTTTAATTTGGCCTACATGGCGCGGTTTTTCACGCCGGGGGAAGAATTTAGATAGCGCGGGGGGAATTTTCCTCGCGACACAAAAGAAGCCAGGATCAAGTCAAAGGCGAAAGAAGGGAATCCCACAAAACAAAAGATATCAACATGGTCTTCCGCCGTGGCCCCAAAAATCGACAGCTGTGGTAACAAGTAGACGTAAGATGTGGACATCGTAGTCAACCTAAATCAGAGTTGGCAACGATATACAGGGCGAACTCAAGGTCCGCCGAAAACAAACAAAACAAAGATAAAAACCAAAGAAGAAATTCAAAAAAAACGTGAGCTGTGAAAAATCCAAGCATAATGGGGAAGAACCAAAAAGAAGCACTCTCTACGAGTGCTCCATAGCATCAACCTAAAATAAAGTTGACGACAAAAACAAAGGAGTGGGCTTAAGGCCCACCCCAAAGACCGTAAATTGAGGAAGGAAAAGGCAAATGAGGTAAAACGTACAATGTGGAAAAGGCAACTTACCTGCGAGGCGATCCTTTGATCTTTGCCCCTCGCCTGTTTATTTCCGCTAAGGCCTTACACTGCTCAAGATGACCATACTCCGTGCGGCTGATGTCGCTAACTCAATGCGGGTTCTCGAAACAGAAAGATGTCTCATGTTCCGTGGATTTGCATCTCCTGCATTTCCTTCCGCGGTGAGGACAGTCCGCTTCGGCATGTCTGGCACAGCAAAGGAAACAACCTCCTCGCGTCGCATTCAGCTTCATCTTCTTGCTCAAGTGCCGATAGACATCACATCTCGAAGGCGAATGTCATCCCTTGCAAAAGTGACAACGAGTGGTTTCTTCTGCCAGTCGATGTGTATGCCGTTCTGGAGTTCTCCTGGACTTTCCGCTCCGCTCAGGCTGCCTTTGGGAAATGGGCGGTGGGGCCCCATCCTGGGAGGCGGCGGGACGCTGTCGGGGCGTAGAAGGGACTGATGACGTTGTCGAATCTTCCTGACGAGCGATCAACTCAAACGCCTTTTGCAGGTGGTAGTGTGCTGTAAAAGTTGAAGGCCGCTGAAGCGATTCCTGAACTGTCTGGTGCAGGATGCTAGGTGGCGGCTGTGGCGGTGTACGTTGAGATGGCTGTACCGGCTGTGGTTTGGGTTCAGGCTTCCTCTTCTGTGGCTTGGGGAGTTGCGGTGCAGCTGGAGTCACTTTAGTTGATGGTGGTAGCAATGTGGAGTCTAGAGCACCTCTGTCTCGCAGCTGTTCTTTAAGAACTCCGCGATAGCACTCATGCACGAGTGACATTTGTGCTACGATCAAGCTTGCTGCGTAAGTGACAGTTTCCAACTTGCGGAACGTGATGTCATATTTGGCCAGGAGATCAAGTCTCGACTGGAGCTGCTCAGGTCTCATGTACAATCCACACATGACTTCCCTCAGGATATCGTGATGACGTTTGTTGATGTTGTAGATGTTATCGAATAGCACGTCCATGCGGTTGATGATGTCTTCTGGACCTGGCTGCGGCCTATGACTCAGTTCCTGCAAATAGTTGGTGGCATCTGCTGTTAGCCGAACTAGTCCTTCCATCGAGCCAGAGATAGAGCCGTAAGGTGCGCTGAACTATCTCCGAACTCCTGCCTCTTCTGCGGGTGGATCGATTTAAGCTGAACCTGTTCGAAGAAGTCCTTGTGGATAAAATTATTGAGTGCTACCAGATCTGCGTGACTTAGCTGCGCCGGGCTAAAAATGTGCTCTGTGGAGAGTGCCATAGTCATCCGTTGGAGCAGTTGGACGGCTGGTCGATACTCTCTTGGCATTGTAGTAGTTTCTGGATCCTCCTCTGTCTGGAACGTGAAGTCTTGACTGACGTCGCGTCCATTCGCTATCGCTGAAATAAGCTCGAGCATGGTTGGTGCTCGAGTGTGGGGTTCTTCGGCATGCGAAGAATCTGGAGGCTTTGCCTCTGTGGAGCGAGAGAGTCCTGGAGCTCGCGTAATGGCAAGCTCATGGATGACTTCAGCTAGCAGCTCGGACTGAGCGGGGCTTTCGCTCCGCTTTGCCTTCGGTGCTGGCTTCCTCTCTGATGATGTTGATGGCGACCTCGAGTAAGATCTTTTCCGTCCTCGGTATTGTTGGGACTCCGACACGGGTTCGCCTCTCTTTTTTGTACGCCAAATCGTCATGGTGTAGATGGTTAGTCTACTCGTTTCGCTTTACCCCGAAAAGAATGAAAAAATGACAGGAGTAAGAGCACATCGCACGTAATCACAACGGACTCACTTAAGGTTAGTAGAAAGAATGACAAATGAAAAAGATGAGAAAGAAGCAAGATATAGAAGCAAGATATAGCAAGATATACACAAATGACGATAAGAGAAGAGAGAGAAAATGTAACTTGGAGATGTGATAATTGGTATTAGTAGCATGCGGTTATTAGGTTATGACATATGAGGTCAGGTTAAATAAGTGTGAACACAAGAGTCAAATGTGGATTCTGCAATAATCAACATCCAAGAAAGAAGGGATCTACGTGTGTAGACGGAATAGACACATGTAAAGATGTCAATTCCACAATGCACCGTTAACAGCTAACAGAAAGACAAGGGAGAGTATAAGAGAATTAAATAAGAGTGAATGAGAGAAAGATTAGGAGAAAATATCCAAAAAGTATGAGCCACGCATGTTTTTGCATTGAAAGAAAGAGAAAGGCGGAAAATCAGAGTAAATGAGATATAGAAGATAGAGGATAGATGTGGCTCACGAGAGAGTGATAAGGAGACATGAATAAGAAAGAAACGATTAAATGAAGAACATATAACGCGAAAACGAGAGAAAACAATCCAGATCAATCGCATGAGGCAATTCATCGCACACGCTGGCTAGCTTCCATTCGTGGCGGGACCAGTTCCTCTGTCACGCATATTGTGGAGCGCGATATAAACCGCGCTTGCAACCGCAACGCATGTGGCTAGAGCATGCTAAAGATACATGCTACACACAAACGTCGCTTGTGGAATGAAGCACGTCAATGATGACGCGTAAATGGGGATAGAGACTTGGCCTTTCGAGGAGGCTGTATCTTGTAGGCGATGTGGAGGGCTTACGTCTACGAGACGTTCGTTTGTGCTCAACTATCGGTGCGTAATCATCCTTTGCGCGGATTTCCAAAGGATATAGCCTAGATAAAGGCCTCTTGAGGATGTTTCCATTCGGCACTCGCACCTCTGCTACTCTCACGCTATCATGATTACTGCCACATATTCGAATCACAATTCCCATCTTCCATTGTCCTCTAGGCACATTGTCCTCCGCGATAATCACGAGATCATTCACTTGTGGATGTTCAGACGTGTATCTCGGCTGGTGTAAACGGCATTGATGGCGTTGGATAAGGGCAGAGAGGTAATCAGTACGCCACACCTCCCAAAAAGAATCTAGGATAACTTGGGTTTCCCTATACCACTCTGCTAATCTATGTCTATCGACAGCAATGTCGTGATCCTGTTCTTGCGAAGGTAGTTGTAGACTGACTTCCGGCGAAATGAAATCGATCGGTCGTAGAATGCGAAAAGAAACGTCCTTCTCTCTATAAGGTGTTATAGGGCGAGAGGTAATGACAGCTTCTATCTCCACAACTATCATTCGCAGTTGTTCCCATGTCAGTCTCGATTTTCCTACAGTCTTCTTGAATGCGGATTTGAACAAGGCAACTAGTCTCTCATAGAAACCTCCTTTCCAGGGGGAAACTGGAGTAATGAACTTCCAAGTGACCCTGTGGTTAGTGACAAAGTCCTAGATATCATTCCTACAGTGAGGAGCAAAAAATAAACTGTTAATAGCATCCTCTGCCGCGTGGAATGTACTCGCGTTGTCACTATAAATGACATCTGGTGTTCCTCGTCGTCCGACAAATCTGCGAAAGGCTAGTAGGAAGTCGTGAGTAGAGCAAGAACTAACAGCCTCGAAGTGAACCGCTCTCGTAGCCATACAGGTGATCAAACAAATCCATGCTTTTGCCTTCATTCCGATGTTGTCTCTATAGGCGATTGGTCCGAGATAATCCAAATCTATGTTCTGAAATGGTCTAGATCTTCTTACTCGCACTTCTGGTAAGCTTGGCATATCCGGATAACGATATGCTGGACCAATAGCTTTCTTGCAAACGACACATGTGCGTAGAATCCTATATACTGTACGGCGTGTAGATGGTATAAAAAAGCGTCGACACAATTGCGCTATCGTCCCATAAGTGCCTTGATGGTAAGATGTAATATGGGTATGAAGTACAATGAGAGACGTTAGCCTGTGGGATGGCACCAGTAATATAGGTGCTGTGCGATAAGCCTTCTCCATACGAGCGGGACATCTTATTAGTCCGTTTTCGTCACAATGCGCGCTGAATCGCTGGAGTCGAAAACGTTCCAGAAGATGACTCGATTCACGATAATGTTCGCGAATAACCAGATTCTCGACTAAGGCAATGTCTTGTGCAGTAATATGACCGGCGAACGAAATTTGAGATAAATTTGGAATTGCCTTGAAGAGAAGTTGCCTACTCGCGAATGTGAGACGCTCGACAATCCTACGTCGCAAAAATCGAAGGATGTAAACGGTAATCCGCAAAAGCTTCATATAACCGTTTGTGGCAAAGAATGAGATAACCGAAACATGTGAATCATCTCTAACCAATGATACCTGTGTGAATTCCTTATCCTGTTTCGACGTTGTTACGGGCGGAATCGTTAAGTCCATATCGCTGTTAGGCCAATCTTTAGGAAGTCGACGAATAAACTATGGTCCTGTCCACCAAACATGATCTGCAGCTTCCTTCGTCGCTAGACCACGTGTAGCATGATCCGCTGGATTATCTTCGGAAGCAACATAGTGGAACTGACGTCGATTTCTAAATCTTGAAGCTGTTTAATGGTCTTACGAATAAAGGTTACTCGATTATGGACGAATTGTTTCAATGGCCTGGTGGAGTGGATCCAATAGAGTACAATCTGGGAATCTGAAAAAATGTGAATGGACGAGATCTTGAGGTCCAATTCTTTTTGCAGGTATTCGGCTAGAGATACACAGCTTCTGGCTGCCAATAATTCCGTCCTTGGTATGGTGATCGGCGTAGGCTTGTTAAGGTGCGATCTTGATCTTGATAATAAGGTGTGAAGTAGTCGTATTGTGGGCTCGGCTTACCAAATATGCGCAAGCAGCAAACACTCGTTTGGAAGCATCTCCAAAGATGCACAAGTCGAATGTATGTGCGCTGCGTGTGGTTACTCGTCTAGGAAGGGGCGGTAACGGATCTCGTACATTGTGACAAATGCGTTGCCACTCCTTTTGCACCTCCTCGTCCAATTGATCGTCCCATCCAAGCCTCTTGATCCACAAATCCTGTACAAACAGCTTGAAAGGAACTGTGAAGGGAGTCAGAAGTCCTAGAGAGTCATATGTGGATGCATAGGCTCTAAGAGCTGTGCGTTTTGAAACTACTGGGTACTCCAAGGTCCTGATTGGTATAGCAAACGTATCCCGTTCAGGCGACCACGTAATTCCCAATAGCTTCGTGTGGTCGGGTTCTTTGGCACGGTCCTTTGATTCTATCTGTTCATTAACTGCCGGCGATGAGCACAGGAATTCTCTCAAATTCATGTACATGTGGTCGAATATGGATTTAGCTGTCCTGTACTTCTGCAGAGCTTCGTCATGCGAAGAAGCACCTAGGATAACGTTGTCCACATACGTATTTCGCTCAATCTCTGTACGAAGAGGTGAGTTTATGTGGCGAAGATAGATCCTAATGGACGCGGCCAATACGAATGGGGATGACTTGACACCGAATGGGATCCTTGTAAAACGAAAATAACGTAAGTTATCCTTGTCTGGAGGTCTATTTACGTCCTTCAGCCACAGGAAACGTGTCACATCTCGTTGAGAAACTTGAAGTCGAACTTGATGGAACGCTTTTTCGACGTCAGCAATGAGAAGATGCTTGTGCAGCCGTGCTCGGAGTTGAATTCCTGCTATCTCCGGCAACAATGACTCCTTCGTAGAGGCAGTCGTTCAAACTCGGATATCCTCTCATATGCGAAGAAGCATCGAATACTATTCTCAGCTTGGTGGTAGCTGAAGACTCCTTGAAGACGGCTTGATGCGGGATATAGTAAACGAGATGACTGTCTGTAACGTGCTCGCTTACTTTCTCGATGAAGCCTAACTGTAGATGTTGTTCTATGGCTGAACAATAATCCTCCCATACTGACGGCTGTTCACGTAACCTCTGGTACTGACTGACTAGTCGGCAATAAGCTAACTGTTTATTGTCGCCCAGTTGGAGATGTGACTCCTTCCAAGGAAACTGTACGTAAAGAAACCCATTATCAAAACATGCGGTGTCTTCAAAGTGTTTAAGAATAAGAGAGTTGTGGATAGCGTCTTCGTCGTCATGTGGATCATCTTTAATACCCAAGCGCTTTAATTGCCACAATCTG